GCACTGTAAGATGGACGACTCCTCCCCGCCGCCGCCCTCCGGCAAGAACTCCGGCGGCGCCGACCGTCTCACGATCCAATCGCTCCCAATCTTTCGGTTCTCGTCCCTCAAAGGCCACAAGAAAGACGGGCTCGAGTGCGCCGTCTGCCTCAACCGGTTCGACCCGGACGAGTACCTCCGCCTCCTCCCCAAATGCAGCCACGCTTTCCACCTCGAGTGCGTTGACACGTGGCTCGAGGCACACCCGACTTGCCCCCTCTGCCGATGCAGAGTGGGCCCCGAAGACGCGTTGTACAGCTGTCAGCAGCAGTTGTACAACGCGAACGCGAGACCATCTTCCAGCAGTACCGCGCGGTATAGCGGCCCGGTGGAGCAGCAACAGTACAGCGCGAGACTGTCTTCCGGAAGGCACGATAGTACTGCGCAGTACAGCTGTCCGATTGACTGCAGCACGAGGCTGTCGTCATCAGGCAACAGGCACTCGGATGGGTCGCTCGAGATCATAGTGGAGAATCAACATTCGGGTAGGGCCTCGCTCGATGGGAGGCGGAGGGACACGGGATTGTTGATGTTGTCACCGGTCGTGGTGCGTGGGGAGAAGCGTCGGGTGGAGCACCGGATAATAATCTCCGGAGGGGAGGAGGAGGAGGAAGGGAGGTGTCGGAGGTGGAGCGACGTGGAGGCGGGGGAGCTTTTGTATTTGAGGTCGGAGATGATAATTGGAGGGAGAAGCGTGTCGGAGATAATGGGGTTGAATAGGCGTGAGGAGAGAGGCGGCCGAAGGAAGGAGAGGGAAGGGGTTGTGAAGAGGTGGCTGGCGTGGATTTCGCTCGCACAACCGAGCACGACAACAGTAGGATCTTCGACTGCATGTGCTAGTGCTTCCTAGGCTCTGCGACTGCACGTGCAGATTCTGATTCGGTTGCTTCTGCTGCTGCTACTACTGCTAGTTAGTGCTTTCTCTGGACCACTGTAGTTTGATTTTTCTTTTTTTATTGGGGAGAGAGATTTTCTTGATTTATGTCCTTATGGCTAGCCATTGGAGAGTGAATAGTAGTGGGTTGTGTTTTTTTTTGTCTAGGCTAGTGCATGGCATAAGGCAATATGTCCTTTGGGAGGCGAGTAAGAGGAGTTGTGCCTGTCTGTCGATTATGGATTTTCAAGTAAGTTAGTTCAGCTGAAATTTGAAACGAGTTTTTTTACAAGTTAGAAATTCCTGGATAGTTGTGTGAAAAATATTGTTTACTCTACAAAAGAGAGTTAAGACTCTACTGGTGTGGGCACGCTGCGTTTCGAGCAGACGGATCATGCACGCGTGCACTATCGGGTGTGTGTTGATCTAACGGACCAAAACAGATTTTTAACAATTACTTCAAAGTGATTGTCACGCATGAATTCATCTGCCCAGCATTTAAAACAGATCATGCACTAATTGAGACAAAGGGTCCCTCTGGTGATATACTACTTGATAAATCTTATAATTAATCGAGCCCCTGTATTTTGGGGTCCATGTTGTCAGCCTTTGATTAACCCAAGGCTCCAGAAAATCATCCATTATCTCATTCATAATCTATACAACTAATAAACAAATGTTATTGTCAGGTTGCTTAATTGTTGATAATTATACTTTCTCACAAAAGTATATATATTTATTTAAATTATGAAATAGACTTTCATTTCCATTGTAACTTAAAATACAAACATTGTAATATGAAAATATATAAATTTGTGGTAACGTATTACTAACAAATGCCGCTGTTGGGCTGTCTAACGTTAAGCAGTCGCTTTCCGTCGGGATTTGTAATCCCGAGAGAGTGGTTTCGTAACGAGACTGTAGCATTTTCCGCAATAATCCACTAGATAATGTGGGTATTAGACAATTATTAAAAGACAAAAGCAGTCCACCAAAAAGGTGTATATAATTTGCCTTTCATGCAATATCCAGTTGTCAGGCAGTACAATATTTCTAAAATTTAGTTAACAAACAAACATAAAAAGGGATATGATCAGGGCCACAGCCTTAGCACAGACGACAAAAAATGTAGCAGTTAATCATACAGTGAACCTCCAAACTCATTTTAGTTCAAAAATCCCTTCACAAGCTAAATGTTTGATGAGTGATGTTTCACCTAAATTTAGTCCTTACAAGTTTGGAGTTTTTCAAGATTAGTACATGTTTTTCAAATCCAAGAGAAAAAAAAAAA